AAATTTCAATTCAATGTAATTTTATTTGTATAGCGCCAAATCATAATATACATTATCTCAAGGCACTTTACATAGAAGGTCAAGACTTTAAAATTCTGAATAAAAAGTCTTTCTTAATAAAGTTCCTTAACAAATAATAGAAATTTGTTCTGTAAGCGTTCCTTAGCTTCCGAGTTGAGTGAACCCTGCGCAGGCTGTCAAATGTTCAGCATGAGCACAGGATGTTTTGAGCATGAAAATCTCACTGGAGAAATGTGGCAGTTTTATATCAAAAACAAATCCGCTATCAGTAAGTGGATATTCTCACTCTAATTCAATTAAACAGTATTCTCGGTAATGATAATATGATAATATTTTCTGCTGTTTGTAGCTTCTGGTTTATCCAATGTGTCTTCTCAGGTGAGAACCACCCGTTGAAGTTTACCCAGATCCGAACCATGAGCGATAAGATAATGGTGAAGTGGGAAGCCTTCTGGCCTTCGGACTACAGAGACCTGCTGGGGTTCATGGTGCTGTACAAAGAAGCGTAAGTACATTTTCTTAGTCATCCAGCAGCCACACTCACAATTACACTTTGTTCTCTGCTAGAAAAACAAAGCTCTCAACTGCTCAAGCTCTTCAAAGATAAGAATACGCTGAATAGAAACATGGAGACCAGTTAGACCTGATGGGTCGAGTTAATGTTAAATTGTGCTTCACTGACTCTTTAAAAACACATGCAGAAAAATCAAGATGAAAACATCTGTGGACGATGTGTCCTCTTTCTGAAATCAGTGTTCAAGCACAACAAGCTTTCTATACTCAAGCAGGGGTTGTTCATATGCTCATACAACGCCCTGTCAATCTGATGTATTCTATGTTCTCAGTAGACCAGGCTGTCCATCTCTTAAAGTCACCAAAATGGAAAAATAAAAAAATGAAACTGGCATTCTGTGCCGATTGAATAATCATGACTTTGAGCCGGCTGAGAAGTCTTATGAAGAAGTATTTGGGATTCAACACCACAGATGGAAAAATGCATAAAAATGAGGCTGTTTGCTGACTTTTTAAAACACAACCGCCTGCAGTAACATCACTGAAGATTATGAGGTCACCTCTTCAATTCTACAGCCTGTTTTACAATTAGGTTATGTGGGTTGCAATGAATGCTTTTAGAAAAAAAAAGTCACTTTCATTTATTCCATTTTTCAACCAGCATCATATTTTTATTGTCTCTCCGGGCTCAGTAACGTTTACACAGCTCTTTTTTCCTCGACCGACTGCGCCGATAAACACTCTGATGAATTGCCATAAAAAATCTAACTGAACCTTGATATCCTTTCAAGTGGAATTCGATTGAGGCCAGCATATAACACACTTTTCGTTTGGATATTGTTTTATTTTTTTTTTACCTCACAGACCATTCAGGAACGTAACCGAGTTTGATGGGCAGGATGCCTGCGGCTCCAACAGCTGGGTGATTGCTGACGTGGACCCTCCACGCCGAGCCCCAGATGGGGAAAAAAACCAGCTTGAACCGGGTCATCTCATCCTGCCGCTGAAGCCCTGGACGCAGTACGCCATTATGGTGAAATCTCAACTCTCAGCCTCTGATGAGCACCAGGTCCACGGAGCCAAGAGCGAGATAATCTACGTCCGCACCAATTCCACCCGTAAGACTGATTCAGATTTGTGTTGTTCAAATGTGTTGCTCCTCGAATTCTAAAGGTAAAAATACCTTTTCTGGCAGTGAAGCCAGCAACGTTATCTCTCGTCTGGTAAACACAAGTTTCCTTTTGCTCCAATAATTAGGACCTCAGTTTTGTCTTGACTCACTTGCAGGAAGTTCTGAGTCATCAACACACTAATTTCCAACATACACGCGATTAAGTAATAGATGGAATTGTGATCATTCGGACTTACAAAGATATATGATTGGGAATCATTTGTATAGTTATGGAAATTGGTGTTGGTGATTTCTGAGTAGAATCGGGCCTTAAATAGACCCGTGTGGGACCCCACAAGTCCAATCTGTTTTGTCAGAGGAGTTGTAATCCGTGACTACTTCGAATTTTTGACCAGGTATGTAAGACCTGAACCAGTTAAGAACTGTTCCAGAGAGAGGCCGACCCAGTGTTCAAGTCTGTCCAGCAGAACATTATGAACCAGTGTCAAATGCCGCACTGAGATCCAGTAGAACAAGTTCAGAGAGTTTTTTCTCATCGGTGTTCATTCTGAGGTCATTCACAACTTTGACCAAAGCCGTCTCTGTACTGCACTTGGCCCTGAAAACAGATTGAAATTTCTCAAACACAGAGTTGCTGCAGAGGAAGTCATTTTTCGAGCATTTTTCTCAGAAAAGGCAGGTAGGAGATTGGTCTGTAGTCCGAGATGACTGAAATATTTGTCTTGTGCTTTTCTAGCATTGTTTGATTAAAGCAGTTGGGCCTGTACATGTGCGTTCTCAGTCACTTCTGTAATGAATCCTCCTCAGATTGAACCAGAGTTCATTCAATTACTTTGAGGCTCGTCTTGAATCCACATATCCTGCGGTGTTACTATCATTGACTGGTGGATTGAACATTGTGTGTGTGTCAGTCTGGCTGCTGCCAAGACGTCCTTGGCACAACAGCCATGAGGAAGACAGATGGCACAATTCGCCTTGGGCACCACCAACCTACAGGGGGCAACGTCGTGCAAGATGTCTGCATCGGTCCCACGCAGCAATCTCGAATCTCTTTCCCAGAACCTAATTGTACCCTGCCACCCACCAAGTGTGTGTCGTGCACAGAGTCGTCTGTCGGCTTCCTTTCACACAATGTGCGTTTCCTTCCTGATAAACAACATCAAAAATGACAACCCTCACTCGCATGGCACAGGCTCCCAGCAGAGACGCATCGCTCAGACAGCAGAGGGAGGGTTGTTCTCTAGCCGTCTCTGTGTTCTCGGTCTGTGTCATCTCTAACCAGCGTGCTGCGTCAGAAGGGCAAAGCTGTCATTACAAATTAACTGTCTCTGGTGAAACGCGGTCTGACAATGCGGTCGGACCAGTTTGTTGCACCCTCATGAAACAGACACTACATAATCACAGTGACATCAACACTCAAGTGTCTGTGTCTCCTTACGGTTCAATCTGAAATCCCCACGCACCACTTCTTCCTCGCCTCAGTGTTCAAACCACATATCACCTAATTTTCTACTTTTCAATCAGCTCTCCACAAACTCATTCTAATCCAAAAAATGATAGAACACATGTAGATGTATGTTATGATTAAAACAAGCAGCACTTGTTGTGGAGACAGTCTCCGTCCTGCTTTTGTAAATCAGACATCGACTCAAGTTTATTATGACTCATGCGTTCGGGTCACTGATTTGTTTTCATTAAGTTGCACAGGTTGTACTTTGTTTTGCAACGTGAAGAGACGAGTACGCTTTCAGTCCCCGTGAAACTGATGAGAACAAACTAGCTTTTGAAAGTATCTTCAATAAATATGTAAATTACAACTTGTGTGACCTGAAATGCAAATCAGATTAAAACAGCATTTCATCTTTTCTATTTTTGACAAATTCCAACAATTGTAGATGTCTGCTAACTGTGACCCAAATGTATCAGAATTATAACATTAAAAACTCATATATGAGTTCTATTGGTATAATATGGTTTCATATATATTGGCAGTGTTTTTATCACAGTTTCTCAAACACATATCTTAGTTTATTTTACTTAGTGAAAATCAGTTTTCCAGTGTTGTGTTATTTTAGATCACTTGCAGGCCTCGGTCAACATGTAATTCATGTACATTCAGATCCTCAATGGGTTTAAGTGCCAGGAGCACATGCATGTACCTATTATTATTTTGGATATTTCAGGATTTTATGTTTTTTTTATTCATGATTTAAGTTTTAAAAAGTTTTAAGACATTTATTTTGAACTAATTGTTACTTTGTATTATTTTTTTTGTTTCACTGTTCAGTTTTTGAGTCCAAACTTTTTGATGAATTTTTTACTCCACTTTGCTGTAAAAATAACTTCTTTCTGGCTCTCTAGAACCCTCCGTCCCACTGGACGCCATTTCCTCATCCAACTCTTCGTCTCAGATTATCCTCAAGTGGAAACCTCCCAATGACCCCAACGGCAACATAACTCACTACCTGGTCTTCTGCCAGCGTCAACCTGAAGCCAGCGAGCTTTACAAGTTTGACTACTGTCAAAAGGGTAAGCCACATTGTTTGTGGTTGTCCTGTTATTGTGTCCACGTCTGTATTAGTGTGTCTGAGTCTGAGAAAAGAAAGCTTTCCATTATTTGAAGAGCTTCTCTCACTCAAAAACCTTTCCCTGCTTCAGGGTTAGGCTAACCCTTGCTCCAGTCTGCTCATAGGACACTGTAATGACTGTGTATTCTGATTCTCCTTGATGGGTAATTAGACGGGTTATTAAATATTTCAAATAGATATAATTATCACATATATATATATATATATATATATATATATATATGCATCCCTAAAATAAATTTACGGTATCTGTCTTGGGACTGAAGACTATGCATCGTTGCAGTCTTATAATTGAACTACTGTTCCTAACAAGGATAAAAATATTCTGTACCAGCTCAGCAAGAAAATCAGGTGCTGGAATCTTTTGCTTGGGTGCAAATATGTCGCTTAAACTACACAAAACCAAGTTCTAAGACAATCAGGATTCTATCCTCGCTATAGATCGGGTTCAGACAAAGTTCAGACATTTATCTAGGTTGAATTATTAACCCTCACCCAACCTACATCGATGTCCCGCCGTCACTGCCCCTCAATGTTAGCACGTAACTGAGCCCAAATTTAGTCTTTTGAACTTCCTTAACTCCCACACATCCAGAGAGATGGGAAGTCTACGGGGAGGTCATGTCACTAGTAATTCATCTCCACTAGAGAGGGTGAGGAGGAGGAGGTGAGGGAGGACGAGGACAGACATGGCCCTCGGGCTTATGTGTGTTTGTGCATAAGACTGTGTTATGTGTCTGTGTTAATTGCAGCTGTCATGCCATTGTTTCTGATTTGATTGTTTTCATTTTTTCCCCTGGTTGCCATGTCTGATTTCATTTCATCAGGGATGAAGTTGCCATCACGGGTGCCCACTCAGGTGGACAGTGACGAGGAGCACAAGTGGAACCAGACGGAGGAGCAGGGCTCAGGGACACGGTGCTGCGCCTGCCCCAAAACAGAAAAGGAGCTCAAGAAAGAGAAAGAGGACTCGGAGTATCGCAAAACCTTTGAGAATTACCTGCATAATGAAGTCTTTGAGATCAAGTAAGATGACTGACAACAGACTTGTCTTTTTAAGAATGAAAATCAAGAAAACTGTAGCGTTCGTGTTTTGTTATTCATGAACATGGTCCTCAAAAGAATATTTTTGATGATTTGGAGCTTGAATAAATGACAATGGCTTTTAGATTTTTTTTCTTTGCTTTTATGTTGTCAAACTCAATCCAGTTCAACTTTACTTTGAGTTTAACTTCACACACAACAGCTTTAGCTTTCATTGCATCATCCTAGGTTTCATATTTGAATCACACAAAGTACTTTTCATTAAGAATAATCCGGAAACTGTTGCCATATAATGTCCAAAGCTGTTGAACCAGCCAACTTTATGTTATTGTGGCTCCAACTACTGCTCCCAGCAGTTTGTGCTCTCCAATTAGCTGTTGGAAATTCTCCTCTGTCCCTTAAATGTAATGTCTTTCTAATGTAATGTCTTTCATGCATTATGTAAATAACTTTGAACCTGCCTTGCCTTATCTTAGACGCTCGAGACAGCGGCGTGCTGTGATAGATATTGCAAACCGAACGTACTTCTCCCACACCACGGCCCCCAGCCTGCCAGAGGGCACACACATCCCCGACGACGAGGATACCTTTGAAAGCACCAAGACGGTGGTCACCGTCCACGCCAAAGAGTCCACAGTTATCTCCAACCTGCGGCACTTCACCAGCTACCAGATTGAGATTCATGCCTGCAACCACCCAAAAGACCCGGAACGCTGCAGCATGGCGTCGTACGTCAGCGCCCGCACGATGCCCGAAGGTAAAGTAGTTTACTTTCCTTTACTTGCCAGGAGCTGTCTTAAATTCTTGTTTTGCTTCTATCACTTCTTTGTTTCTACTGAATTATCTATTCCCGGCTCAGCCAGCCCGTCACATTGATACAAGCTGCAGCGTCCAGTCTGCCCTGGAGAGAAGTGCCACTCAGAGAGCTTATTATAACCTAATGTTTTAAACACAATGTTTGCTCAAACTCTTGGCAAGTGACCATCACCACCACCTGCTCCTGGCAGCACAAGAAAATGTACAAAAAGCACCTTTAATGCCCCCCCCCTACATATAATTTTGGAGGAAATTACACTTTTTATGGGACTTGTTTTGCTGGTCATGCTAACTGTGTACCTCATCTGTATTTTTGTTTATTTTTCCTTTAACTAACAGTGAAGAGAAAGAGGGAACATGCAACTAAGTTTTCTCTGCCTTCACATGACATCTGAGCACCTCTGCAGCTCATCTTCTGTTTATTCCAAACAAACCCGAGTTTGAGTAGAAATATCTTTTGTCATACAACGTGACTTTGTCGTTCGCAGACAAAGCTGATGACATTGTGGGTCCGATCAGCTCAGAGGTGACAGAAAATTCAGTTCACATCACTTGGCTGGAACCCGCAGCTCCTAATGGTATGATCATCCTGTACGAGGTCAACTACAAGAGGCTGGGAGACACTGAGGTGAAGAAACACACCGCACACACATCTCTTGCACTCTCATCTGTCATATGACTTTATTGCTCTGGTGAATGTAGTGATGTGAGTCTCTGGGTCACCGAGTCCATAAGTTCAATGCAAGTTCACCGCTGCACATAAATTCATTCTTACCCGGAAAGCACTCTTCATATTTCCCTTCATTAAACCAGAGGCTCGGCTGTTATGACAGACAATTGAACTGAGAATCAGATTTAATGGATCCATTTTGAAATTAGCTGAGCAGTGTTACAGACCACTAACAGCAATGCTAATTACTTGACTTGTATTTTGAAAGTTGGGCTTGTGGTCTCTGTAATGTATTGTTTTGATAACCTTGATGAAGAAGTAAAAGGAAGGATACCTTGTTTAGTTGCCATAGAGACAGGTCTGCAAAACATCCGTGTGATGCTGCAGACGGTTGTTTGGTGTGGAAAACAATAAAAAACAGATGTTTCCTCAGTTATTTAAACATGAGATTTCAAACCTTTTTTTTTTTTTATATAAAGCAGCTGTTTGTCAAGCGGTGTTTCTTCTTTGTTGTGCACCGCCTGCGCCTCAGTGTTGATATTTTACAGGAGTTGCATTACTGCGTGTCGAGGAACATGTTCAAAGTGAACAGAGGTTGCAAGCTGAAAGTGATGCATCCTGGGAACTACACGGTTAGAATTCGGGCCACGTCACTGGCCGGGAATGGATCCTGGACTGAGCCCACATATTTCTACGTCCAGGACGCAAGTAAGTCTCCGTCTGCCACAAAAGTCAAACCAGGCTGGTTCTTGTTCTTCACCTGAAATGTGTCTCATTGTCCGGGCGGATGTGTTGAACAGGCGACCCTCTCTACATCGTGAAGATCGTCATTGGACCGGTCATCTGTTTTATCCTGTTGCTGTTTGTGACCGTGACAGGATTCGTCTTTTTCAAGAAGAAGTAAGCAGAGAAATCATCCTGTTAAAACAGTTTTCTTTTTATTTCCTATTTTTTCTAAATTTAATAAATACTTTTCTCTTTTTTCCTTATAGTCAAACTCAAGGGCCCAGTGGTCCCATCTACGCTTCTTCGAACCCAGAATACCTCAGTGCTAATGATGGTGAGCAACGTTTTCACACACTTTCATCAATAATTCAGAAGCTGTGTTCTTTTTTAACTTTTAGTTAAATGTAGTTTTGGTTTAAAGGATTGTTGCATCTCTCTGAAAAATATACCTACAATTTGATTTCTTGTTATTCAACATTTAATTCACTTGAGATATCACTAGATTTGGAATGATGCCGGTATATGGGAGAAATCTGACCATCTGCATAATCATATTAACCTGCTGTATGTGCTTGTTAACTCCTGTGCGTGTAATATATTTGTGGAAATGTGTTTGCAGTGTACGAGGAGGACGAGTGGGAGGTGGCCAGAGAGAAGATCGCCATTTTGAGGGAACTGGGTCAGGGTACATTTGGCATGGTCTATGAGGGCAACGCCAAGGACATCATAAAGGGCGAGTCAGAAACACGCGTAGCCGTGAAGACGGTGAACGAGTCAGCCAGCCTGAGGGAGAGGATCGAGTTCCTGAACGAAGCTTCTGTCATGAAGGCCTTCAGTTGCCACCATGTGGTAAGACGAGGCGACACCTTCTGCAAGAGAAATCTATTTTCCATGAAGAATTCTGATTATGAGTTTTGATAAATGACAGACTGTGTAAAAGTGCTGGACACGGTGTGAATGAATGGATCCCACCAGTATTTTTAAGTGTCTGTCAATGATTAGACACAGTTCTGGATCTAGAATAGTATGAACAAAATGTACCATCATGTGCAAACACCACACCTCTCCTGCATTAACTGTGCGGAGAGCAGCTGCTTCACCTTGTGGCAGTTCTCATGGTTGCATAATGTGATCAAACCCGACTGTATTGAAACAAATACCCCCTCATCTCTGTCTCCCAGGTGCGTCTGCTGGGTGTCGTCTCTAAGGGCCAGCCCACACTGGTGGTGATGGAGCTGATGACCCACGGAGACCTGAAGAGCTTCCTGCGCTCTCTGCGGCCTGATGCTGAAGTAATGAGATTACAAGACTCGCCCCCCACAAAGTTCATTTTAAGTGTTAGAGTTATGTTTATATTAGTGTTAGGTTGGACTGATCCACAGTACACCTGCAGAAACATTTGATCTATATCTGTCAGAGGAACTCCTTCAACATAAATCAAATCCGGGCCACTGAACCGTCGGTGGTTTAGACATGTACATGCTGCTCACATATATGTTTTACTTTACACATGTTTCTCAACCCAGGATCCTCTGCTGCTCTTATTGACAGTTAGCATGTACTTTGACACTTTGTGAAAGGTGATTTGAACAGCTGCTGTCCGAGCTTAACACTCGGCACAGATGTACAAATACAGAACAACTGGATTTTATCAGTGTTTGGATTAATCAGCAGTTTGCACATTAATTGTTGACATTTCCGATGTTGAGAATCACATTTAAAAAATGTGATCACAGTCACAAGGGGCTGTCTATTTCCCGAAACCTGGTTTACCTGTACATATACAGTACCTCAGTATATTTCCACAAATTGCTTTAAATATTTTTCTGTATAATCGAAAGGTTTATTTAACTGTCACCTTTTGGACACTGTAACTATACTGATGTCACTTTAACCAGAATAAGAGCCAGAGCTGTTTTGTACAATCGTGTGTGATGATCAAATTTTCATTATCATATACCAAAGTTTTTTTTCATGTTTCATGTTGTGGGGCAGAAATAAGAATAATTATCTACACATGGTATCACAATCAACACAAACTCTTCAGACACAAGAAAAAATGTTAGAAATATGTCAGTCAGAATTAAAAGTTTCTTCTTCTTCTTCTCCCTCAGAACAACCCGGGGCGTCCACCGCCCACTCTGAAGGAGATGATCCAAATGGCCGCTGAGATCGCAGACGGCATGGCTTACCTTAACGCCAAGAAATTTGTCCACAGGGACCTGGCGGCCAGGAACTGCATGGTGGCTAACGATCTAACCGTCAAAATAGGAGGTTAGTTTCTATTAACCACAACAGACACTGGAGATTTCAAATTATTATTGTTAACGTAGCCTGAACGCTGTGTCTGTATCTTCCCCTTCCATTTTCCCTGTGTAATCATTTTATAATTTGCCAGTAATTATCTACTTATATAATCTGCTGTATTAGGTTTGTATGTGGCTGTTATAATCCATAGATGCGGGTCAACTGTGGCTCAGCAGGTGGAGCAGGTCGTCCCTAATCTCAACAACAACAACGTTCAAGTGAAACTAAATGTGTATTCAGCATCAGGAGTGATTTGCTTAGTGAGACGATAAGAAGATGAAAAAAAACAGCAATAAATTCAAAGACATTTCAAACACATCGCTGGCACAGTGAGCTGCAGGGGAGCGGGTTTTAAATAAGACATGTTCAAATACAACACATCACTAATACATGAGCTTGACTGTAACTAACCTAATTTATAATTCAATTTTTCTCTTCCCAGACTTTGGTATGACAAGAGACATCTATGAGACCGACTACTACCGCAAAGGAGGGAAGGGTCTTCTGCCCGTCAGGTGGATGGCACCTGAGTCTCTGAAGGACGGAGTCTTCACTGCACATTCAGACTGCTGGTCAGTGACTCTTCTCGTGTTGCGTTTGTTTATGTGCTGTAGATAAAATGTAATATATAAAAGTCGGTGTCAAGTATTGTCTCAAAAGTCAGAGAAATGTTGTGCAGCAGCCTTTAAATGAAGTGTTAAAGAAATCAGGTTTCGTCTTTAATTTAATGGTTTCTCATAGATCGTGGTTTGAATGTCTTTTCTGTGTTTTTGTGATAAGTTGATGAACAAAACAAACTCCTCCACCACAGTTGATTAATTTCCTCCTGAGTCCAGACGAGAATAACAAAGAGTAAACACATTACAAATATTAAATGTGAGACCAGAACACTTGTGTGCAGCTAACCTGCTTTCCGTCCGACCTTGTTTACCAGCATCCGCCACCGCTGCTTCTGCCCTCGGTGTGCAGACAGATCCACTCTGTCAGGTTTCTAATTGGCTTGTCCTCATTCTTCCTGTGTCGCTGTTGTTTTCTTTCCTCCGCCTGTTTGCCAGGTCGTTTGGGGTTGTGCTGTGGGAGATCAGCACGCTGGCCGAGCAGCCGTACCAGGGCCTGTCCAACGAGCAGGTCCTCAAGTTTGTCATGGACGGAGGCTACCTGGACCGACCAGACAACTGCGCGGACAGAATGTAAGTATAAAAGCAACGCTGTATTACATATGGACTGGAAAGTATGAGTTGTGATATCTAGATAATTGAGTTAAAACTGTTTATTTACAAAGTCATAAATCAGAGCTGCACTGAACAAAAAAGAAGTATGTCATGATACAACAAATTAAGATCTGGACACAAGTATCATTGCACCATGGTCTCCCTGTATCTTCACACAGACACAACCTGATGCAGATGTGTTGGCAGTACAACCCCAAGATGCGGCCCGCCTTCCAGGAGATCATTGAAATGCTGCGGGAGGACCTGCACCCTTCCTTCCAGGAGCTCTCTTTCTTCTACAGTGAGGAGAACAAGCCGCCCGAGAGCGAGGACTTTGACCTGGACATGGAAAACATGGAGAGCATCCCGCTGGACCCGTCGTCCTACTCCCAGAGGGAGCAGTGTTTGGACAGGGACGAGGGCTCTTCCATGGGGCTGAGGGGCAGTTATGAGGAGCACCACATCCCCTTCACACACATGAACGGGGGAAAGACCAATGGACGAATACTGGGCCTACCGCGGTCCAGCCCCTCCTAACATACTACACACATCCCACGCAAACACATCGATGCTATAGATTTGAATATATTTTTGTCCTTTGTTGTCATTTTATAAAGATCCCACTTTTATCACACTCTCCTCAGAAGCCGCTCAGTGCAAATCTCAGGACCTTATTTTTCTCCTCAGATGCCACAAACACATACTACAGCAAGTTCTCAAACGGACAGCAGAAGACACTCTTTTGTATTTAAGGATGAAGCTCCCATGTCTTTCTTGTTAATGATTGTAGTTCATACAGTATGTGTGTATATATATATATATATATATATATATATATATATATATATATATATATATATATATATTGCCAAGTTTGTGCTCAACTGGGCGGATAATGGATTCAACTGTGAAACAAACTCTTGACAAACAAGAAGGCTGCTAAACCCACTGTTCCTCCCTGAGTCCAGACTGTGTCCCCCTCCCCCCCCCCGATTCAACACAAGGGTTCAATCCCAGATCGCTAAGTCTTGAAAAAAAAGTGCCCTTCTATTTTGTCTGTGGCCTACATCAGTTGTCTTGGACCTGTTTGTGAATCTTTGTACACAAGTGGATGACGAACTGAAAATGAAAAGACTTTGGAAACTTTAGTGTCGGATGGTCGAAGACGGTCCATCCTCGAACAAACTCTGATCCACTGGAGAAGCTGGTTGAAGTGGCTTACCTCCTCACACTCTGCAGTATTCCAAAATGGCTCCCAGGATAAACACAGGACTTTTGTTGGGTTATTTTTTTTTATTTATTTACCTGTCTTCATTTTTAATTTTTCCCCCTTTTTTCCCCCTTTTTTTTGAGTTTTCACATTTACAGCTGAAGGATATTTAAACCGTTTTCAAAAACATGTTGGCGAACGAGTTCCTCAGATTGACCAATAGCTGCTTCTTTGGTATATTTTAGTGGGTATAGAAGATGAAATATATATATAAATATATTATTGATGTTTTTGTACATAGCCGATATGTTGTCATTCTTGAGGTATTTCCGGTCATAGAAAATTTTTACATGTTAGTCTCTTATGTTTATTTTTTCTAATCCAGAAAATCATACTAATTACTAATTAGCTTTATTTTTGTTTTTCGGACTCATGATCAACCAACAGCACTTGGTCTTTTTTGCTATGCGATGCCCAGGAGAAGAAGCGTTTGGCGTCTTCAGCTTAAGATGTCTGCCCATCATATCGAGATCAAATAAAATAGTGCTGTAAATATTGCAGCAAGGTGCATTCATGAAGCGGCTCTGCCAGTACGTCTGTGTTTCTGTGCATTCAGTCGGGTTCGTAAGAATTTGGATGGTGACATAGCTATTGTTAATTTCTCCCTGTACACCAACACAATGCATTTGAAAAGAAGCCATTCAGATGTGACTGTGAAGTGTAATGTTTGAGCTTTAATTCAACGGGTTTAACAAAAATATCAGTTCATTAACTTTTCAGATGCTGGAAAGGAAAAAGGCAAAACTGACATAAATATAAATATAAGGATGAATATCAGGATTATTTTTATATAACATGACAGAAAAGCCTCGACAGTATGGACGTAATCAAATGGTCTGTTTCCGTGATAACAATGAAAACAAAACTGTACACTAGACAGAGGAAATAAAAGTTAATGAAATGGAATTACAGGTAATTCCGAACAAACAAACGGAAATGTAATCATTTTAAATATAAAGAAACATAAATAAAAATCTAAATAACACAAAATACAGCAACGTTCTATCATAATAAACAAAAAAATGGATTTATAACGTTTCAGGCTGAAATTAGAATCAATTGGATGAAATGTTGTGAATGCAAGTTGCAGTTTTATAGGGTTTATTTTCTGATTATTTCCTCCCTGGATCAAACCCAAGTATCAGTTTGACTCGCTGCTCAAACCTGAACTCTTACTAAGGTCTGTGGAGCAATGACGCCACCTACTGGACAGCAGTGGAATGGACATTACCCAGTATGTGATCACTCTTGCATATAAGTGTTTTAAGACACACCTAAAAATACTACTAATAAAATAGAAAACTAAGTCTGGTATAAATGTACACTTGTTCTGAGGTGTATGGGGGGGTGTTATTATTCTTTTCAGCCCATCCTCCCTCCTCAGCTTTGTGTATCTTTTATTTTTTTATTTCATATTTTATATTAGTTTAATTTAACTTTTATTTCAAGATGTCCATGACCCCTGCTGCAAATATCCGAGGTGTGTCAGCTTCACAAAGTAGAACCTGCATTAGGATCCACGTGTGAACGAGTTCATGTCAGTGTTTTAAAGTATTGTGACCTCCTCAGCACAAGATGTCCTCCACACTGTCCTGGATCTTTTGACTGTGTCACATAATCTTCTCCAGCAGATGGCGTCACCCATTGTGGAACTCATTTGTACTTTGCTCAGTTTAACCAACATGTTTGTTTTAATGTAGAGATCAGAACTTCAGTCCTGTGTCACAGGAAGAATATATCAACTTATATAAACTCATATGTTGGAGTATTAAGGACAGACTAACACAAATCAAATAAACAGAGTCTTTCTCAAGCAGCTCAAACAAGTCGAGTAAAGAAAAGATTCAGTCTTTTGTCCTTCGTACCTTTGAGACAATGTCTTCAGTTCATTCCTCCATCCGTTGATATGACCAGGGGCGGATTTACCAGAGTCCCTGGATATTATGCTTTACTTTTATATAATTTCATCCATGAACACAATGATTGCATGACAACATCTGAATATATATCAACAGGTTTGAGACAGTGCATCTTTATAAGTGTTTGGATTTGGAGCCAGCTCTGAACATGCAGGTGAGACACAAGAGACATGTCTGAACTCACGTGAGGACAGAGTTTGTTGTCTCTGGACGTGTTGCACTCAACCCAATGATTCCCACAATGCTCAGAGGGAAGGAGGGAAGGAAGGAAGGAAGGAGGGAGGGAAGGAATGAAGGAGGGAGGGAGGGAAGGAAGGCGGGGCTCCTCCAGAAGAGGCTGCAGTGATTGGTTTATTCATCCTCTCTCTATCTGACAAGCACCTGCCACTGTCTCTCAGTCTCCCCCCTCCCTCTTTCTCTCTCTCTCATTCTCCCCCCCCCTCTCTCTCTCTCTCTCTCAGTCTCCCCCCTCCCTCTCTTCACCTGAACACTGAGCTGCAGCTCTTTATTCTCAGTCTGGGGTTTGAGCTCGACACCAGGTGAGACTTGAACTCGTTGTGTCTCTCTCTCTCTCTCTCTCTCTCTCTCTCTCTCTCTCTCTCTCTCTCTGGTGTCGTTAATGGAGAATAAAGCGCAGCTCGTCATCATTGTAGATCAACAGCTGTTTACTGATTGAAACGAGTGACGCTGCTTCTCCTTCCACCTGTGAGCCTCCAGCACAGGTTGGTGTCCTCTCTGTCTCTCTGTCCTCTCTGTCTCTCTGTCCTCTCTGTCTCTCTGTCTCCTCTGTCTCTCAGCCTCGTGTTCGAAGACACCAAATTCGGTAAACGCGACGTTAGCTTCATGTAGCATCGAGCTAACACACCTGTTGGCACCTGTCTCCTCTTACACGCATTCTTCTTCTACGTTTTACACTTCGACATGTTCACTGAAAACAAGCCTGTTATTTGAAATCGTTCTTATATCGTGTGTATTTCTGGCGCCTGCTTGTTGTGATCATGTTTATCATCACTGTATCTGGTCTTTAATGCACGTTGCCACTTCTCATCCTTGTTTTAAGCACATTGAGTTTTCACTTGTATGAAACGTGCAACACAAATAAGCTTGACTTGGATTTCAGCTCAGTGAAACTCTCACCATCACACTAGAGAGCAGCTGGTGTCCGTCTGCTTAAATGGCTGTGTTCTGTTTCTGGTGTTGTGTCTTTGAGGTAAATGTGATTTTAAAGTTTTATGAAACTTTCAAAGGTTAAAGCTGCTACACAACATGAAGTGACGCAAACAATGTTGGGTGTTAAATGTGAGGAATTGAAAATAAACCTTTATTGTTCAAATTGCCTTTTTAATATTGAAGTCGGACGCTGTTGTGAAATAATATATATTTGTGTATATAACCAAGAAAATGCAAAAAATCTGCATTTAAAACATCTGGAGGAGCAAAATGTTATATATGATGGATCTGAAGTCATGGATTGTTTTCTATATTTCTTCTATGAAAGTCAAACAACTCCCAAAAAAACCAATTACACAGAGAAGGAAATCAACTAAAGAGACACAGAACAACTACAGATGCAAGAGACAACCTGGGAGAGATGGAAAATATCAAGAGAACAAAACATTAACAAACAGATAACCTCAAACAGAGGCAAAGATGTTAGCTGTTTCCAGACATGAACTCCGGAAAATTCTGTCCAGACCATTTCCGAAATGACATCCATGCATGTGAAGGATACAGCAGGAGGTTGTTGTTTAGGAAAATATCCCAGAACGTTCATGTGAGGGTGAGGACAGACTTTATTTATGAATTCTGCTGCGGATGTCACATGTTGTTTACAGCACATCAGCGCTGGCGTTAGCCCTCATTGTCAAAAACTCTTGTGTCTTCCTCACTGTGAATGCTTTGGACATTTCCCTGCTTTTTCTCACAGGGGATCACTCGAGGGGACTGACGGGAAAAGTTCAGCAAAATGTCAGAAGGAATTTCTGGTCCAGAGTTCAGTGCATGTCTGAAAACAGCTCAAGTACAGGGGTCCTCCTACATAGGTGGGGTGAGGGACCCATTTTCTACTAACCCGCCCCTGATTGAAGTTAAAGTGGCAGCAGAGGTTAAAATGTCGTTTGCTGAGTTGACTTTCACCTAAGCTCTGATTAAAGCTGAAGAATCAGCCGAAGTTCAAGCACTGAATGGAATTGAAGTCGATGGGGCGTAAGTGATGAGTCGAGCTGGAAGTGTCGGCAGAAGTGGAAGTCTTTAGATAAATGAAGTGTAAAGTGGAAGGGACTGTCTGATGAGGTGTAGTCACTGAGCAAAGTTGTGTAGATGGTGTGTGAGCAGAGGAAGATGGGATTTAAATGTGTTGAAGTGTGAGAGAGGAGCTGAGCTGTTAGTTGAGAGTAATGACTAAAAGCAGATTAACTTTTAGTTCACATTGAGGATTTAGTGAAGGTTGGATTCTCCTGTTGACAGAAACACATTGGCATGCGTTTACAGCATGACAGATAAAAACACAACCTGTACCTTGAAGTAAATCAGTAACTAAATGTGTGTTGTTGAAAGTGTGTGAAACCTGCTGCAGTAACGAGGAACCCAGCTCAGTCATCTGGGTTTTTTAAAATCTATTATTGATAAACGATACCTCTGCAATGACGCAAAGACGAGTACGGTCCTCTGGGTTAATGAGACGCAAGCAAAACAGATCACTTTGGTTTCTTTGTGTCTGCTCTTACAGCTTCCTCATGCTAATGGCTACAGTTTCACGGTTGTTAACCATCGATGGTCTGGTTGGTTGAGGACTGTCGGGGCCTTTCACTGTGCCTGGTCATGCCGGAACATCTCACCTCTCACTTAACAGTTAAAAGTGATCAGGGCCAGTGAAGCTTCTTTCCACAAACACAGCATTTAGTCTGTGTTGTCCCCTATCGCTCTGTCCTCTGCAGGATACTTGGCAGACTTGCTGGTCTTGTTTTGTCTCTTTAGGGAATGACCCGTATTTCATGCTGCTGTGTTTCCCTTTCCACCCAGTGTGAATCATGTGAGGTGTGGCTGCCACTCACAAGGGGCAGAGCCATACAACCGCACTTTGGCTAATAGCATACCACGAAGCTTAGAAACAAGTCTTTAAAGAAAGAAATATGACACCAAGCCCCGGGGAAACGTGCAACGCAAATGGTGATGTAAAGGTGTTTTGTCGCTGTTTGTTTACATCACTTAGAAACGTATTGATGTAGAAACTGCATTTATATTATATACAAATCAGTATATACTTTTTATATTAAAATACTATTTGTGTACTTTTTATATTTATAAAGCATAAAGTCATTTCTATCTCTAAATGCAGACATAGAAGATAGTAATGGGAAATTTGTGATTTCTCCGGTGCAGTACTGTAATATAGACTGTGTGATTATCCTTCAGTAATTTACTTTTACAATACGACAGCAGGAAGTATTTCTTTTGGCGATGCCTTTACCAGACACAGCAGTGTGATTGTGTGTCACACAGGTGAGCCAGAGGCATGCAGCTCAGCTCCTGTGGGAGTTTGTGTCACAACCTTGTCTCTAGTCAAACAGTCATGTGTGTTTTAGGTGTGTCTTTAA